GAACTGCCTTCAGTGCAATTGTTTGATATGGCTCTTCTAATCATGGTCTTCCAATTTGTTGTGATGGGCTTTGGATCCTACTCTCTATGCCTGTGGTTTTGATCCCACTTTGCAGTGAGTTGTCTCTTGTGTTGAACAGGAATGATTAATGTGGAATATATTCTGAGTCTGCAAGTCCATCCTGGTGTCGTGTGTAGGAAAAAGCACTGGATTGCAAGGTTGCTTGAACTACAATGTTGGTGCTTCAAATTAACCAGCCACTCCTCAGAAACCCTGTACAGGGTTGCTATGAGTTGGACCCAACTCACTGGTACTTAACATCAGCAGCCTTATTAGTGGGTAGTGCTCAGTCACTATCCTTATTTTCCTTAGGGTGTGGTCTGTGTCCAGTATATAGGGATACTTTGAATCCTGCATCTGCCTCACTTTGGTCTGGACTCTAGTTTTTGGAACCTGTGACCTATTATCTGACCTGATTCATCAGTTTCTGCAGTCTTGTGAATCAACAGCCTGTTGTCTAATCTACTGGTCTGGGTTCTTCAGCCCCTCCAAACTCATGGGTGAGAGAATCCTCCAGATTGGTTTCTGGAAATATATATTTGTAACTTTCCAATATCCACAGTCATGTTAGTCATTTCCTTGATGGTTCATGAGTTCTTTGTGATGTTGACATGAATTGTAGTTATTAGGGAAAATACTATGGGAAAAGTGGAGGTTGATATCAGAGATGATGCAGTGGTATAGCATATTTGGATAGTTGGACACTTGGACATTTTTTTACCTCAGTTTCATAGGACCAGACTTGTGCTGTTCCTTCTGAAAGACATCAATCTTGCACTTTCCCATAGGGTTTACAAACATAACAATATGTCTGGAAGCTGAGTGTCATATCTTTCTTCTGCTGAGTGACTGGTGACTCAAAGTGCTGACCTTTGGTTAGCAGTAGAGCACTACACATTATAATAAATTTATAGTGCACATTATAGTAAATTTTGAATCACAGTCATCCCATATAATCTTTACAGGAGGAGCTCTGGTGGTGCACTGGTTAAGTGCTGTATTGTTAACTGAAAAGTCAGCAATTTGAATCCATGGGAGAAATATATTCTATAGAATTGTTATAATTTGGAATCTATTGAAAGACATTGGGTTTAAAAAAATCCTTTCATGAGATAGTCACCAGGTCTTTCCACCACAGAACTACTTGGGAGAGTAAAGCTACAAAACTTCCAGTTAGTATCTGAGTGCATAACCATTGTGTTACCTGGGATCCTTAAAGAAGGTGGAAATATGCAGTGGCAAATTTGGGTTTTTATTTGCATTTCCCTGATGACTAGTGTTTGTGAGCATTTTTTAGTTTTCTCATTGGCATTTGTGGATCATTGATTGTGAAGTTTCGGTTCAAATCCTTTGCCCATTAATAAAATAGAGACTTGGGGTATCTTAATACTGAAATGTAAGCATTCTTTATATATTCTTGTTGTTAAGTGTCGTCAAGTTGATTCTGACCCATAGCGACCCTGTATAGGGTTTCCAAGGAGAAACTGGTGAGTTTGAACTACCGACCTTGTAGTTCAAACGACTTTGCAGTCCGATGCATTAGCCCACAGCGCCACACCAGGACTTATATATTCTAGATGCAGTATATATATATCACAGATGTATTTATGTATAAGACCAAAGTGATTGATTAGTAACATAGCTACAATGATGTCATCTGATATGCTGGTAATGGCACGGATGACACTGGACAGAACAATGTTTTGTTCTATTGTATATAAAGGCATCATGAGTAGGAGTTGACATGAGTATATACCAGCAACAACATCAAAAACTAGGTGATGTCCAATACATTTTGACTTTCTTTAACATGTATGTGATCAAGATATCTACAGTACAGATCTTGTTTGTGAGAATCAGAATTATATATTCAATTGTTTACTGTACATTCTTACTTAATTGTCTTTGAATACAAATTGCTCTATAGAAGTAGGCCGACCTTGGAGCAAATGAGCCTGCCTTCTGTGACTAGTTATTGGCCATTTGAGAGTCTAGAGTGGTGAGCATGAACCTCAATGTTAGACAGCTACAGTTTTATTTGGTGCATTTTCTCTAGTATAACTTAAGATTTTTGAAGCTCAGATTCACAGTAGCTGGGTCAAGAGTTCACTGATTTCGCATATTCATTGGCACCACCAGGGCCAAGATTTCCATCCTTTCACATCAAATCCTGATACACTCCTAACTGCTATCCTGCTTCAGGTCTTGTTCCTATACGTAGCTAAGACTAACATTCAAAACTGAAATCCAGTCACATCAATTGCTAGGTCAACAACCATTCAGCATTTCTATATTCTCCTTAACATTAAGCCCTGATTTCTACTGTCCCTGTCTCTCCACTTTCATTTCTTTCTATTTTTCCTTTTTACATGTTCAGTGTCTAACTCGGTTTGTGGCACATATTGTGACTTCACACAGTAATTATTGAATGAACAGATAAATTAGTAAGCCCAGCCATACTGAACTATTTAGTGTTCCTGAATACACCATGTTTCTTTTCATCTACTGACCTATGTATTCTATCTACCATGGACTCTCTCACAGAAGCTTCATGCCTATTAGTCCTTCAGACTCATTGTTATCCTTCCATTCCATTTTTGATGATTTTCAGCTATGACATGTTTCCTGATCTCCAGAGCTCATTATTTTTTCTCCATCTCCTTTCAGAATGCCCAGTGCTTCCACTGTCTTGTCACTTTATCACTACGTTGTACTTTTCTTCTGCTTCTGTCTGGGAATCTCCTGTAAGTTGTGAGTAGGCTCTGGGGCTTTTTATTCAAAAGGAGGAGATGTGTATGTAGATGGAATTGTTGAGAAGCCCCACAACTATTACCAAAAAACTAGTGAAATTAATAAAGAATGAAAAGTAATATGCAGTGTATATTCATAAAATAATAAAACCTAGTTGACAGCAAAGAGAATATCAAGCTTAAATATTAATGACACACTGAGAATTTTAGTTTCATTTATTTATCATTTCTTAGTTTAAGCAAGAGGGAAAGCAGATTCTGATCTTCCTACAAGATCTAGCTAGATTTCATCTTGGTGTCTATCAGATAAAGGTAGGAAAGAATTACTTAATGTCCAGTCATAATTTTTCTTATAAATTTTATTCAACTTATTTATGTTTCTTTAAAATTTTAATTATTCATTCTGCATTTATTATTCATAAGAGTGCTACATCGTAGAAACTCTTATATCTAGTAGACAACCCTCTAAGGAGTATAACTTTACTAAATACTCATGAAATCTCTTCCAAACATTCTAATGTTCTTTTATTTGTGCTATCACTCTTTCTGGACTTCTGGCATCGTTCTGTAGGATCAGCACAGGACTGTGAACCACAAGGTTAGTAGTTCAAAACCCACCAGCTTCTCTTTGGCAACACAATACAGGATCGCTATGAGTCTGGACCAACTCAGTGGCACTTGACAACAACATCATTGTTTTTGGTTGGTTTTCAACCTAAGATAAAATTATTCAGAAGCTCAAAAGGAAATTTTGAAGCTTGACCTAATCATCATTATCAATTGTTTTTCCAGGTTTAAAGTAGTTAGGTGTCATAGTGCTGCTAGCAACAAATGACCATATATGAAAATAAGCAGAGAAAGAAGCAAAGCTTGTTAGATTTCCAGTTATAGATAATCAACTAATACATGTAACATTCCCAGCATATTCCCAGTTCAGTAAATGGAAGCTATTATAATTAGCTGACCAGTTGTTTGCTATCTCTTGAGAAACTATTATAACCACTAGAGAAAGGACAGTGAAATCAATCAAATTAAGTTTTCTATCTCTTTAATATGTCTGCTTTGGTACTTTCCTGCATCACCCAGATCCCTAGTGTGAAATGAAATAATTTAAATGCTGATCTAATGGCAGTTGTTAGAAAGTTGGTCAAAATAAATTTTATTGTATATTTTCTCTTTTAATAAAGGGAAATCTTATGCATCTACTTACATGCATTTTCCTAGCAAAACTCAGTCAGTCAATATTTGGCAAAAATATCAAGAATGTAAGGAATACTCTTGCCTTACCTATTCCTAATTTGCTACATGCAAACCCTATAAATAGTAAAGATAAATTTTTATTTGCCCCTTAAGTATTTCTTTCTGAGAGTATTGTAAATGCTCTTCGAACTGTTTTGTCAATTGGATATAGTGATATTTATTTGTCCACTAAAATAACCTTCCTACTGCACAATTTCATAATGGCATTTTTCATCTGGACATTTCTAAAGGTATAGATTAAAGGATTTAACATGGGAGTTATGAGTGTGTAGAATACAGTAACTGCTTTGTCAATAGACAAAGTTTTTGCAGGTCTCATGTACACAAATATGCAGGGCACAAAGAATAAGACAACCACTGTGATGTGTGAAACACAAGTTGAGAGGGCTTTGCGCCTCCCCTCCAAGCTGTGGGTCCTTAGGGAATACAAGATGACCACATAGGAGATGAGCAAGAGGAAAAAGTTTAACAAACAGAGGAAGCCACTATTGGCTGCAACAAAGAATCCCAGAATATGGGTATCTGTGCAGGCAAGACTGAGCAAAGGATTTAGATCACACATAAAGTGATCTATGATGTTAGGTCCACAAAAGGGTAATTGAAACATGAAAAGGATTTGTATGGTTGCATGAAGAAAGCCTCCCATCCATGAAACTCCCATTAGAAGACCACATACTCTACGGTTCATGATGGTTGTGTAGTGCAAGGGCTTGCAGATGGCCACATATCGATCATAAGCCATCACAGTTAGAAGGATGACCTCAGCACCTCCAAAGAAATGTTCCCCAAAGACTTGGGTCATGCATCCATTGAAGAGTATGGTCTTCCTTTTACTGACTGAATCTACAATCAGTTTAGGAGTATTGACAGAGGAATAGCAAGCATCAATAAAGGAGAGATAAGCCAAGAAAAAGTACATGGGCGATCCCACCAATGGACTGGTAATGATGGTTACCACAATGAGCACATTTCCTACCACAGTGACGATGTAGATGACCAAAAACACCACAAATATGATTTTCTGCATCTTTATGTTTTGCGTTAGACCCAGTAAAATAAACTCTGTCACGTTATTCCTACTCGCCATGGATTTCTTGTGCTTGTTAGTTACCTTATCTGTAAAGAAATCATTATTAGTATAATCTTGCATTTATTAAGCTTTTTTATACTAATACAGAATAAATATCTTGATTTTATTGATTTGAGAATTTTTGAGAGAAAAGTAAAGGTTTTTTTTTTTTTCTTTTCATTTTGTTTTAGTGTGCTAAATATATATGTAACTGAACAATTATTTTTCAACACTTTGCTTCTTCATATATATAATTCAGTGACATTAACTTATGCTCAAATAATCATTTGGTCCTGTCCATTATGAATTTCCAAGTTTCCCATCTCCTTAAAAGAAACTCAGTGTCCCCCAAGAAATGTGTCTTCCTTTCCTCTTCTATCTGTATGTACCTGCTTACCACTAGTAAACTTGTCTCTCTACACTTTCCAAATCTTGATATTTCATGTGAGTGGGATTCATATTTTTCCCTTTGTGACTGACATATTTTACTTGGCATAAGTTTTAAAGGTTCATCTTTGTTTTGGCATATATAGGACTTAGAGTTTCTTGGTGATTGAGAAATATGGCATTGTATGTATGTTACCAAGTCCTGGTGTGGTGTTGTGGGATAATGTGCTGGACTGTAAAGTTATTTGAACCACAAAGTTGGTAGTTCAAGCTTATGAGACACTCCTTGGAAACCGTACACAGGGTTGCTATGAGTTGGAAGTGGCTCAACAGCACTAAAAAACCAACAGTAAATGCATGTTCCACATTTTAATTGTACATTAGTTAATTAATGGACATGTGGGCTGTTTCTTTTACCTTTTGTCTATGGAAAATAATGCTGTAATGAAAAATGTATACAAGGATCTGTTTGTATTCTTGATTTATTGTCTTTTGCTGTATATCTAGCAGTTGTGAGTGCCTGAAGTATACCAGACTGCTTCCCATGTGAAGATTGTGTTATGAAAGTAGATATGAGAGACTTCTATGAATGCACAGGGTAGGATATAATCTGTGTACACTTTGAAGTAGAGGACAATATGTGCACTGGTATGAAAGCCATGGATGTAAAGTAAAGGAACTTTTCTCTTACTCATTAGTAAACAGAGAATTATACTATGTTTTTGAGGATATGAGTGGAAGGAAACAGAGTGATTTGAAAAATGAGTCTTGAGCTACTATTCAAGTAAGTTTTTTTCTTTGTCATGAACAAGGTTCAGAACATTGAATCAGAGACAGAGGAATTGATTAGCAAACTATTTATCATAGTTGACATAATGCATATAAGTCATTAGAGATGAGAATCGAAAGAAAGGATACAAAATCCATTGTAAAATACTTCATAATGCTTATTGTCTAAATTCATTTCACTTTATAATATCTAATAATTGTTGGTGTTTATGTTGTCAAGTGCCATGGAGTCAATTCCAACCCATAGTGACCCTGTATAGGGTTTCCAAGGAATGAGTAGTGAGCTTAAACAACCGACCTTGCGGTTTAAACCAACATTGCAGCCGAATGAATTACATCAGGACTCCTAATATCTAATAATATATACATCTTAATGACTGGGTGCTATGTGCATGGTGTGGGAACAAGAGCTTTGCATTTGTAATTCCATTTAATACTTATAAGAACCTGTGTGGTTGGCACTATTTCACCCATCTGGCAGATGAGAAGACAATCTCAGGTTATGTTTATAATAACAATGATAAAAGTCACTAGAAATTACTGGTCACTTACATATTTGAAGTGTTTTGCCTTCATGTGCCTTTCAATCCTTATTACACACCTATTGGATTGATATCGCTATCATTTTAATTCTTATATTATAAATTAGGAAATAAATGATGAAAGGAATTGAGAATTCTTCCCCAAAACTAGAAGCTAATAAAGGACAAAGGCAAGTATATCCAAAGCAATTACATCAGTAGAACTTATACCTTTATAAAGATTAATTGATAGCATCATGGAATTCCCAAATATTAAAGAAAAGGTGGTACTTTTTTCATTGAAAGAACTCTTCATCTTGGTCTTTCCCTCAGCACCTACTTTGTGTTCATTGTTTTGTGTCATTGAGTGAATTGTGACAGACAGGACCCTGTATGACAGAGTTGGCTGGTCTAATCCTGAGTCTCATTGTGACTGACAGGACCCTGTATGAGAGTTGGCTGGTCCTATCCTGAGTCTCATTGTGAGTGACAGGACCCTGTATGACAGAGTTGGCTGATCCTATCCTGAGTCTCATTGGCAGTGTTTACAGGAGCATGTGGCCAGGTCTTTCCTCCCACAGAGTGGCTGTGGGTACCAACAGCTGACCTTTCATTTTGCATCAAACACTTAACCATTAATGAGCCAGGGTTCATTACACCCCGCTATCTCCTCTCCTAAAGAGCTCTGATAGTGTAGTGATTAAGAATCCGGCTGCTGACCTCAGTCAGCAGTTTAAAACTACAAGGTGTTTCACAGGAGAATGATGAGGCTTTCTGGTCCTGTAAAGATTTACAGCCTCAGAAACCCTGTACAGGGTGTTATGAGTCAGAACTGACTCCATGACACATAACCACCACCACCACCATCCCTTCTCCTGTGCTCCTGTAAAGAATGGCCCCCAAACTCTTATGCAAAACTGTTGAAAACAATAACTAAGTGTATTGGTTTTAAAATAGAAATATCAAAACTAGAATAGTTCACATGCAACTCTTTTTACTTTTGGTAGATTTAGTACATTACTCTTGGTACATTTCTTGGCACCTTGTTCTCTTACTTGTAAAAAGAATAGTAATGTCCATATTACTAGTTGCTATGACATTTGATTAA